GGAGGAGGAGGAGGAAAGGAGGAGGAGGAGGAGGAGGAGGAGGGAGGAGGAAAGCAACATCAGGAACAACTGACCCTCATCCTCGTTCGTTGCGCGCGGCCAGCGGCCAAGGGCCTCCTCCACTCCCCCCCACCCACTCCACCTTCCCCCCCCCCTCCCTCCCTCCCTCCTTCCTCCTTCTCTCCTCCTCCTCCTTCTCCTCCTCCTCCTCCTCCTTTTCCTTTTCCTCCTCTTCCTCCTCCTCCTCTTCCTCCTCCTCCTCCTCCTCCTCCTCCTCCTCCTGCCTTCTGTTCGGCCGACGCGACCGCCGCCTCCGCCGTCGTCGCCGCCGTCGCCGGCGCAGCGCCGCGGAGCGGCGGCGGCGGAGCGGCGGCGAGGCGGCGGGTCGCCCCCGGAGGCCCGAGCACCGCTGGAACGGAGGCTGGCGGCGGAAGGGCGGGTGGGAATCGCGAGATAGTCTGGTTGGACATGCGAGGCGGGGATTTATCCATATTCAGCGCCTGGGAACCAACGTCCTGGTGGTCCAGCGGGCGGTGGATATGAATATATTTCGGCCCCTGGGGGCTCGAATGTGTCCGAGAGAGCGTGATCCACCGCCGCTTTCCTGTGGAAAATTGCCCACCTTTTCCTCCGGAGCCCGGGATCGCCCCCCCCCCCCCCTCTCCGAAATCCCCCCCCCCCCCCCCCCCCTCCCCGCAAAACTCCCCCCCCCCCCCCCCCCGCTCCCCCCCCTTTAACCCCTCCCCCCGCCCCCTCCCCCTCGAAAGCCGGGGGGGGGGTCACTACCGGTTCGAACCCCTCCCCCCCCCCCCCCTCCGGATCTGGAAAACCCGGGGGAGTCACTACCGGTTCGAACCCCCCCCCCCGTCGAAAACCGGAGAGGGTCACACTACCGTTCCGGTTCGACCCCCCCCCACGCAACCGCCAGCGACTCCCGGCCCTTACCACCGTCCGCATCACATCCCCCACTGTTGTTCCCAGCGCCACTGTCCTCACCACCGCTGTCCCCGCTGGTTCCACCACCGTCCCTACTGTCCCCACCAGTGCCCCCACCACTGTCGCACTGTCCCCACTGTCCCCACCACTGTTCCCACCACGGTTCCACTCTCCCCACTGTCTCCACGGCCCCAACCACTGCCCGACTATCCCCACTGTCCCCACTGTCCCACTGACTCCTCCGCTGTCCCACTGAGCTGTCCACTTTTCCCACCACTGTCCCCACTGTCCCCGCCACTGTCCCCACTGTACCTCTGTCCCATTGTCCCACCGCCGTCCTCGCCACCGCCTTCACCACCATTGTACCCTCCACTGTCCCACTGTTTCCACCTCATTCCCACTGTCCCCACACCACTGTCCCCACCACCACCGTCCCCACCACTGTCCACTGTCCCCCCTGTTGCCACCATTGTCCCCACCACTGTCCCCACCACTACCGTTCCCACCACTGTCCCACTGTCCCACTGTCCCCACCACTGTCCCGCTGTCCTCACCACTGTCCCCACCAACACCGCCCCCACCACTGTCCGCACCCCCATTCGGTTTTCGAAGATGGGGGGGAGGTTCGAACCCGTAGTGACCCCCCCCCGGCTTTCGAGGGGGGGGGGGTTCGAACCCGTAGTGACCCCCCCTCCCTTTTCATGATGAACTGTGGGGGGGGGGGGGGAGGGGTTCGAACCGGTAGTGACCCCCCCCGGTTTTCCGCCAGCAGCGGTAGAACACGCTCTTTCATATGTCCATATCCACCGCCTGCCGAGGCTCCGAAAACTGACCCTCGAGGCTGTGGTCATGTGTAAATGCCCGCCTCGGAAAACAGTTTCTGTGGGGAGGAGCTATTGATCAAGGAAGTCCAGATCTCAATATGCGCGAGAACGGGAGCCTCAGATCTTTGCGGCCGGGTCGCGCCCCTCCAAGAAGGGCATCATTTATCACAGACCACCTCAAACGACCCCCTCAACCTCATCCACCATGCGGCTCAGAGAATCGCCAGGCAGACCAGGAACACCCCAAGAGACGACCTGCACCAGGCAAAGTCATGACGTGGACCGTGGCCTGAGAGAAAGAGAAAGAGAGAGAGAGAGAGAGAGAGAGAGACAAAAAAACACGCCTAACAGAACGTCTGGTCGGGCGTGTCCTCCTACAGGCGGATTTTGCAAGACAAATCCGCCGATGCGGCGTGTGATTGCAAGGTGTTCTAAGCTGAATCTACGCTTCAGCCTGAGCTTTAGCTTTGCTGGCGAGGGGGTTCTAGGGGGTGGTGTGGGGGGGGCTAAACACCGGCAGTCGGAATTTGCAGTTTTTGCAGAAGGGCCCTCTGTAGATGCGCTGGAGGGGCGGCGGCATCCTGCGCTGGATGAGTTGGACCTTTTACATCGAAGCCCTCGGTAGATGGGCTGGATTCCAAACGGGGGTTGTAGACTCTATAAAATCGGGGATCTTCTGACCGAGGTCAATCCAGACCCGGGTCACTCAGGCCTTGCCGAATCCTGCAAAACCCTGCAAGATCCTGCGCCCAAGCCCAGGTCAGTGCGAAGGATCCTGCAAGATCCTGCAGGATCCTGCGTTCAGGTCAGTGCGCCGCTGGCCCTGCAGGATCCTGCAAGACCTGACGCTCTGGCTGACCCCCATTTGCACTGACCCCCGTCTCAAGGCTCCCGATAAAAAAGACACCCTGTAGATGCCGGAAAACGCCCCCTAGGCTTGGTGCGCAGCAGATCCTTTTGTACTTTGCACAGAGCGAGGCGCTACCTACACCGTAGCGCAATCCCGGGCAAATGCTTGCGAGCGCGGGTGTCGCTCCTTTCCGTCAGGGCGGTTTCGCGACAACCCTATGCTCACATGTGGCAACGACCTCGACTGCCTCACGCACGAACGCTCCCCTTCGCTGCGTCATTGAACTCCTTCGCCTTCTTTTGCAAAGGTGTCCCTTTCGAAAAGCTCGCGCTGCCTGGCAAGCCTAAATCAGCCCGAGCATTCGAGACGCTGTCCTTCCTTCTGCTTCTGCTTTCGCTTTCACGCTTTTCGGCCGGGTCTTCCCGATCTGTTTTACTCTTTCACCAGGGCTCCGCAACACCCGCTGCAGCTATGCATCGTTCTAGGTGCTCCTAGCTTGCACGAGCACTGTGGCCCACTCGATTCCAGTCTGCTTCAGGCTTCCCCTTCCCGTCGTCACACCCGCAACACTACGTAATGCATGTGTATGTGCCGTGGCAGTGCCTTCTCAGCCTCGCTTCCCCGCTGTAGCCCGGCATGTTTTGCAACGATATGCAATACTTCCAAGTGCCATACGAGGGAGGCACGCAGATGCGCTTTCGACTCATTTACGGGCTTGGCCGGACCAGCCTTCTCGTTCACTACGTGCGGCCTCCGAGTCGCAGATGGGCCGCCCTCGGTCTCTGTATCCTCTTCCACCGCGGTGCTGCTGGAGGCTGCTGTGGCCTTTCGTTTCGCGGGCGCCTTCCCCTTCTTCACCGCCACTCTTTGGCCCTAACGGGCGCCTTTCGGGGCCCTAGAAGGGGCGCCTTTTCGGCAGCCCTCGCTGTCCCCCCTTTTTTACCGCCCCCCACTGCGCGTCCTCCGAGCTATAAAAGGGGGGCCCAAACGCTGGGACAATGTTATCTTACACAGTCGATCATTTTTGTTTGTCTCTCTCTCTCTCTCTCCTCATCGCTACAAATCACCGTAGCCCTAGTATCTGCGAGTGTTCCGGGGCGGGCGAAACTTTGGACGCCCGAAGTGGGCATGGACGAAAAGGGGTACGATGCCCAACTACAAACGTTGTCCAAAACCGACAGCTGACGCTGTTGGGCAGGCGGCCTTCTGCCTCAAATGGTCCACGTCCGCGGCGACACCGACAGCGAGTCCTGTTCAAGATGAGCAGGGAATATTGCTGGTCGTTGTGCCCATCTTTTCCGGTCCCATGGCGTCCTTCCAGGGAAAGCGCCTGGAGTGAAAAAATGAAGCGCCCATATCTCAGGGTCTCTCTTCGGCTACACGCAGGAGTGAGCCTGGGTAAGAGTGACCTTTGATGCGCGGTTTTCTGGGGGCCGCGGGGGGGTCAGACACGAGCGCGCAGGACGCTACCATCGCATCGCGCTCGGCGATCGGGGGACCCCAGTGGGCCCGCACCAAATGTCACTCTGGCGAAGGTTCCCTCTTACGTGAAGCCGATACACCGTCTTCGCATGCCTTTGTCTGCGCAGCCTGGCACGGCCCTGTCCTGCCTCACCGAGCCTCACAAGACTGCGCAACGCGTCATCCCCTTCCCAGGCGCCAGCCCCACGAGGAGAGTTCCGGCGACGGGTCCCTCCTACGTGTACTCGACCCCCCCCTCCCCGGAGCGCAGCGAGGAGGGGCCGAAGGGCGCGCTGCCTTCTCTCTGTCTCTCTCTCTCTCTGGAGAGAGGGAGAGAGAGAGAGAGAGAGAGAGAGAGAGAGAGAGAGAGCCAGGCCCGGAGGCGGCCAGGAGGCTGCTCTCTTAGGCGACCGGGTTTCGGGGCGCGGGCGCTCCCCTCGGAGCGCAGCGCGGAGCGGGCGGCACGCCCTCCTAGAGATCCAACGTCGTGATTTGTTCAACACAGGGCCCCCTTGCAATTCTCGACCCAATCCCCGGGGCCCTGGGGCCCTGGAGGGGCCCGGCGAGGGGCCCTGGGGCCCGGCGAGGGGGCCCTGCGAGGGGCCCTGGAGCCCGGAAGCTGACGCAGGCGACGCTCCTGGGGCCCGGCGAGGGGCCCTGGAGGCCGGAAGCTGCGGAAAAAAGCTGCCTGGCTGTTCGTCAACACGTTGGACCCCTGGGGCCTCACGAGCGGAGAGGGGGCGGAGCGCTCTCCTGGGAGCGCAGCGCGGAGGGGGCGGAGCGCGCTGCTCTCTGGAGAGAGAGAGAGAGAGAGAGGGGGCCAGGCCTGGAGGCTGCGAGGGAGAGAGAGAGAGAGGGGGCCAGGCCTGGAGGCGGCGAGGGAGGCTGCTCTCCGAGGCGGCTGGGCTTCGGGGCGCGGTGCGCGTGGCCTGCAGCACCTGCTCGGCCGCGCTCTTCGCGGCCTGCGCGTGCTTCCTGGCGACCACCTCGCGATCGGAAGCGGCAGGGGGGCAGGAGGAGAAGGAGGAGGAGGAGGAGGAGGAGGAGGAGGAGGAGGAGGAGGGGGAGGGGGGAGAGAGGAGGAGGAGGAGGAGGAGGAGAGGGAGGGGGGAGAGAAGGAGGAGGAGGAGGGGGGAGAGGAGGAGGAGGAGGAGGAGGAGGAGGAGGAGGAGGAGGAGGAGGAGGAGGAGGAGGGGGAGAGGAGGACGAGGATGAGGAGGACGACGAGGAGGAGGACAGGATGTTGTTGGATTTGTTTGGCAATACGCGGTCCATGGGAGTCTCGATCCTCTCGCTGGGGCGGGCTTTTCACCCTGAACCGTTGTTCGACGGTCCCGGGGCCAGGCGAGGGCCCCGAGTGTTTTGAAGCCTCCGACGTGGATGGTCCAACACGTTGGAGGTCTGGGGGGAGGCTGGGGCCAGGATCTTTTGTTGGATTGCCCATCGGATTCAACCGCTGCCTGGTCAGGTTGCAGATCGGCACTCGCCTCGCCAAAGATAAAGGAGGGGCTGCTCCCCGAGCAAGGATTCGGCACAGGGGGCTCAGAGGGCAGGGAGGCTGTCTCGTGGAAGCTGCTTAGAATGGGGGGAGGGCCGATGCATGGGCCCGTCGCGCACCCTTCTCGTCCCCAGGGGGGCCCCCTCAGGGCCCCATGGGGTGCACGAAAGGTGCACCCCTCTTCCCCCCCAACATACGGTCGGGAGCTTCTGCTTAGCGTGTCGCGGCGGCAACCCCGGCGACACGCTGTGCCCTGCGAGCAGATAGCGTGTGTTTCCGCTGCGCGGGCCGGGAGGCTGAGACAAATTGCGGACGTGGACGGCTGGGGACCTGGGGGGGGGATGGGGTGCGAGCCAGAGCGTGGTGGGGTGGGCCAGAGCCGGCGGAGCGACACGCCAACCAAAAATTTCCGACCGTATGGTGCACGAAAGGTGCACCTCCCTTCCCCTGGCTATTGACGGACTGGGACCCCCAACAATACAGGGGAACATAATTATTCCCCCGCGGCGGCCACCGCTGATGATCGGGGTGAGGATCTCTGATGATGGTGCTGCTGCTGATGATGACAACGACGACGCAGACGATGACGACGACGACTATGACGATTACGATGGCGACGACGATGGCGATGATGATGCTGCTGCTGCTGCTGATGATGATGATGATGATGACGATAGCAATGTCAATGATGATGCCGATGATGATGATGATGATGATGATGATGGTGATGATGATGATGATGATGATGATGATGATGGTGGAAGTGACGATGATGATGACGATTAAGATGTTGATGATGATGACTCTGATGATGATGATGATGATGATGCAGATGGTGATGATGGTGATGATGATGCTGATGATGATGATGATGGCGGTGTGTATAACGATGAGGATGATTATGATGCTGATGATGATACACATGATGCTGATGATGACGATGACATTGATGGTGATGATGCTGCCGATGATGATAATGATGCTGCTGCTGTTGATGATGGTAATGATGATTATGCTGCTGCTGCTGATGATGATGATGATGATGATGATGATGATGATGATGACGATGATGCGGATAAGGACGAAGAGAGGGAGAGCTTTTTTAGGGAGGTCACCCCCTCCACTGCGAAACGCCCGGCCGCCTCGGAGGCCCGCGCGGTTGAGGCCTCGCCGCCGGGAGCGTCCGCCGCCGCTCGCCGCCGCCCCGGGCCTCTCCCGAAGGGCGCTCTGGCGAAGGCCTCCAGGCGAGCCCGGCCGTGGCTCGGAAGAGCGACGAGCATCACAAAATCCGTCCCCAACTCCTCCTGCTGCTCCTCCTGCTCCTCCTCCTCCTCCTCTATAGGTGGGCGACAGTAATTCGGGTACCTTTGCCCATGCTGCTCGGCCTGGCCGGCGCGGAGCGCCGGCGAAGCCTTGTTACTGAGATCCTGGGCTGGACGTGCCCAGGCGCGAAGTAAGAGAAAAAACAAGCTTGGCCCTGCCTGTGCGGAGCGCCGGCACAACCTGGCCGCGCCCCCGCGCTGGCACAGTCTGGTCACGCTCCCTCCTCGTCCTCGTCTCCGTCCTCGTCCTCGTCGTCTTCGTCCTGATCCTCCTCCTTTTCGCCCTGAACCTCCTCCTCCTCCTCCTCCTCCTCCTCCTCGTCCTCGTCCTCGTCCTCCTCCTCCATCCCCCTTCCTCATAGAAATAAATCCTCGCTGTCGCACCCCGAAACGTGCTGGTAGGGCGGGCCGGGCGTTTCGCCTGAGACTTCCTCACGGTGTATGAGCCCGAGACGTTTTCAAAACGTGGCTCGCGCCGTAGCGCCGCGCACATTCGTATTCAAAATCCGCAAATGCTTCACGGACGGAGGGTTCTTTTCAACAGGTAGCTCTCGCCCTGGCGCCGCGCACATTCGTCTGAAAATATTGCAGGGTCCCACGGATGGAGGGCGGCTCCTTGTCAACATGTGGCTCTCGCTCTCGCGCCGCGCACGTGCGTTCTAAGAGTTTGCAAGGGCTTCACGGATCGAGGGCGGGCCGTTTTCAGGATGTGTCTCTCGCCGTAGCGCCGCGCACAGTCGTCCTATAACAATTGCAAGGTTTATGCAGGTAGAGGGCGGGTCGTTTTCAAAATGTGGCTCGCGCATTAGCGCCGCGAGCAGTCGTGTTGACAATTTGTAGCCACTTGGCGGATTCTTACGGTTGGCGTCCCAAGACTGTTCCGGCGCGGCTTAAGAACGGCGATGTGGCACGATGTATGATCGACAGCACGGAAAAGTGAAGGTGATTCGCGGCGTTGAAGTCCAAGGAATGGTGTTTTGGCATGATCGAGGAGTCTCAACGGTTGTCTTCCAACCTAGCACTCCGAGCAGTGACAATAAATTCTTGTAGGGACCTATGAAGAGAGAGTTTGGAGGGAGGGTTTACTGTAACATCGCTGATGTGTCTTGGGTTTGCACTGGTCCTCCTCCTCCTCCTCCTCCTCCTCCTCCTCCTGAGGAGGGGGTGGGGGGTTGAGGAAGGGGTGCGTTTTGCCTCCCCCTCGCTTCGCCCTCCTCCCCGCCTTCCGACGTGCAAAACCGCCCCGCGCTTCCCAGTCGCAAGCAGGTCCTCGCCTCCCCTCGAGATGGAGGGAGGGCGATAGAGGTGGTGGAGGAGGGATGACGGAGGGGGAGGGGCGAGGAGGGTGAGGTGGGGAAGGACGAGAGAGGAGGGAGGGATGACGGAGGGAAGAGGGAGGAAGGATGATGAAGATGATTATGCTTACGATTATGATGATGAAGAAGAAGAAGATGAGGATGATTATGATACTGATGTTATTCATGATGATGATGATGATGACGATGCTGATGATGATGATGATGATGATGATGATGATGATGATGATGATGTTGATGTTGATGTTGATGATGATGATGATGATGATGATGATGATGATGATGATGATGATGCTGCTGCTGCTGCTGCTGATGATGATGATGATGAAGATGATGATGATGATGATGATGATGGGGAGGAGGCGGAGGAGAGGAAGAGGAAGGGAGTGATGCAGCAGTGAGGGAGGAGGGCTCGAGTGAAGGCGGTGATGAGAATGAGGATGAGGAGGCTCACCGCCTAGACAGGAAGGGGGGAGGGAGGTCCAGAAAGAGAAAGGGGTCGAGAGAAAGGAAAAGGATGAGGAGGACGAGGAGGAGGAGGAGGAGGAGGAGGAGGAGGAGGAGCAGAGAGGGAGGGAGGGAGGAGCGAGGGAAGGGCGCCCCCATCTGCTCAGGCGCCGTCCCAACCCCCTGCCCGAGAGCCCGCCCCCCTAGCAAGGAGAGCAAGCTCGCGACGACCTCGGCGGCAGTCTTGCACTTCCGCTCCATCGACATCAGCCCCGAGGTGAGCTTCACGAAGGTCTGCTTCGCCTCTGGGGGAGGGAGGAGAGACGACGGGGTGAGCTGGGTGCGCTCGCATCTTATCTGGCGTCTTACCCCTCCTTCCCATCCCCTACCGGTGCGCCGATGTGTTCTCTGTCCGCGGATGCTTGTCATAGCGGACCTGGAGCTCCCAGAAATACCCAATCGTGTTATGCGCAATCGAAAAATGGGAGCTGCGTGCAAAAGAGGACGGGGAGGCGGGTGAGGAGGAGGGTGGGGAGGAGGAGGAGGAGGAGGAGGAGGAGGAGGAGGAGGAGGAAGGAGGAGGAGGAGGAGGAGGAGAAGGAGGAGGGAGACGAGAGGAGAGACGAGGAGAGATGGCAGGCTGCGTCTCGTTGAGACTCACTCCAAAGACTTCAGCAGCAGGAGGAGAGGTGAGGAGAGAGGAACTCGGAAGAAGGGGTGGGTGGAGCCCAGAGTCCAGAGCTCGGCATCGCGCCCGGACCTCTCCCGTTGTTCATCCTGACCCTTTTCCGAGCCGCGTCCAGCCGTCACCGGGCAAAGCGCGCTGCCGAAGGCCCAGAAGAGGATGAGTAGGACGGGCAGGAGCGGGGAGGAGAACGTGCTCTTGCCGCGTCTCCCTTCCTTTTCTCTGACGTTGGTTGCACGCTGCCAGCGGCTGGACCATTGCGGGCGCTCTCATCTCTGTAACTTGCATCCTGTCTTTATTCGAACAGAGGCTGAGAACTTGCAACGGCTTGAGCTCGCGAGCCGGAGAGATGACGGGGGGAAGGAGAAGGAGGCGGAGGCTTCAGAAGGGTCCGCTTCGCCTCGAATATGTGGGAACGGTTGGCGCACTTGTCGGCCTCGTGCGCCTCCGCCTTCTGTGTCATGAGCGCCTCGGTTTCCGCGCACTCAACCCTAGTCCAACTATGGCTCTTGAAAGGAGGATGGGGAGGACCACGATGACGAGTAGGATGAATACGATAATGAATTTACGGATGAGGAGGATGGGGATGGGATGATACGCAGAAGCAACAAAAAACAAGACAATGAGGAATCAACGATTCCGCCTTCCTCATCCGCCGCTCCGTTCCTCCTTCCTCATCCGCCTCTTCTTTTGCTTCTTCTGCTCCTCGTCCTTCCTCTCTCCCACCTCCTCCCCTCCATCTCCTCTCTCCTCCCCGCCCCTCCCCTCCCCCGTCCTCGCCTGCCAGCCCTGCCCCGCCCTCTCCACCTCCGCCCCCACCCCATGAGGCACCAATGCTGCCAGACGACAATGAGTTCCCCGCACAGACCACCGCATTGGCTTCATGGAGCCCTCCTGGAAACTCCTGGCGACGGCAAGCTGCTGTCATGACCCAGACCCCCCACTCCTGCCATTCCTCGCCCCCCTCCCCGTCCTCCTCCCCTGCTGCTTCTCAGCCTCATGACCATGTTCGCCAACGCCTCGACGGTTGCGCCCGCACGCCGCGACGAGCCGCGACGACCCCGTCGCGACGAGACGCGACGAAGCCGCCGCGAGGATGCTGCCGCGACGACGACGCTGCGGCGCGACGCGCTCGCGCGCGCGCGCCCGAGCCCTCGGCCCGTGCGTCGGCCAAGGCGGCCATGGCGTCGTCCGCGAGGCTTCGGGCCTCCTCGGGGGCTGGGGGGGCAAAGCAGCGACGAAGAAGAGCTGGCTTCACGTTCGACAGCATGGCGCTCTTCCCCGACGGCTTTCGCAAGCCGCACTTTGCGAAAATCCGCGCGACGAAGAAGGCGCTTTAACGTCGCCTGGCGCGCCCCTCGTCGTCGTAATCGTAGTGGTACTGGTCGTAGTAGTCGTAGTCGTAGTAGTAATGATCGCAATAGTAATAGCAGCAGCAGTGCTAGTAGTGATAGTACGAGTTGCAGCAATAGTCATAGTAGTAGTAGTAATAGTAGTAGTAGTAGTAGTAGTAGTAGTAGTAGTAGTAGTAGTCGTAGTAGTAGTAGTAGTAGTAGTAGTAGTAGTAGCAGTAGCAGTAGCAGTAGTAGTAGTAGTAGTAGTAGTAGTAGTAGTAGTAGTAGTGGTAGTAGTAGTAGTAGTAGTAGTATTAGTAGTAGTAGTATTAGTAAGATTAGTAGTGGTAGTAGCAGTGATAGAAATAATATTTGTAGTAGTAGGAGTAGTAGGAGTAGTAGTAGTAGTAGTAGTAGTAGTAGTAGTAGTAGTAATAGTAGTAGTAGTAGTAGTAGCAGTGTGTAGTAGTAGCAGTAGTAGTACTAGTAGTAGTAGTAGTAGTAGTAGTAGTAGTAGTAGTAGTAAGCGCAGTGGCAGCAGTGGTAGTTGTGGTTCTAGTCGTAGCCGTAGTAGAACTGGTTCTAGTCGTAGTAGCTGTGGTATTAATCGCAGTACTAGCGGTTGTAGTAGTCATCGTAGTAGTAGTGATACCTAAAGCAGAAGCAGTAGCACTAGCAGTATTGGTGATCGTAGTCGTGGTCGTGTAAGCAGTAGTGATCGTAGTGATATAATAGTCGTCGTAGAATTATTCGTTGTATTCGTGCGTTTAATCAGTAGTAGACGTCGTAGTAGTAGTAGTAGTAGTAGTAGTAGTAGTTGCAGTAGTAGTAGTAGTAGTAGTAGTAGTAGTAGTAGTAGTAATAGTAGCAGTAGTCGTAGTACTAGTACTAGCACTAGTACTAGTAGTCGCCGTAGTCGTAGTAATAGAATTGGTGGTAATAACCGTAGCAGTCGTAAAACAGTCGTAGTCGTGGTAGTAGTAGCACTAGAAAAAATAACAGTAAGAGTCGTAAGCGTCGGGGTAGTCGTGGTAGTCGCAATAGTAGTAGTAGTAGTGGTAGTAGTGGTAGTAGATAGTAGTAGTAGTAGTAGTAGTAGTAGTAGTAGTAGTAGTAGTAGTAGTAGTAGTCGTAGTAGTAGTAGTAGTAGTCGTAGTAATAGTAGTAGTAGTAGTAGTAGTCGTAGTAGCAGTAGTAGTAACGATAGTAGTGGTTGTGGTAGTAGTGGTAGTAGTAATAGTCGTAGTAGTAGTCGGAAGCGTACTCGAGCCGTCGTAGTGCTAGTGGTTGTAGTCGTAGTAGTACTATTCGTAGTAGTAGTAGTAGTAGTAGTAGTAGTTGTAGCAGTAGTAATAATAATAATAGTAGTAGCCGTAGTCGTAGTAGTCGTAGTAGTCGTAGTAGTCGTAGTAGTCGTAGTCGTAGTCGTAGTCGTAGTAATAGTGGTAGTAGTAGTAGTAGTAGTAGTAGTAGTAGTAGCAGTAGTAGTAGTAGTAGTAGTAGTGGTAATCATAGTAGTAGTAGTGGTAGTGGTCGTAGTAGCAGTAGTAGTAATATCCGTAATAGTCGTACTATTACTACTACCAACAATAGTAGCTGTAACACACGTGGTAGGCATAACACTCGGCGAACAAGTAATAGTATTAGTAGTAGTCGTAATGTGAAGCTACTAGCGAAGTCAAAAATTGTAATACCAGAAGTCGTGGTAGTCCTCGCGGGAGTAATCCTAGTAGTAGTAGTAGTAGTGGTAGTAGTAGTAGTAGTAGCAGTAGTAGTAGTAGTAGTATTAGTAGCAGTAGTAGTAGTAGTGGGTGGTTGTAGTCGTAGTAGTAGTAGTAGTAGTAGTAGTAATAGTAGTACGAGTAGTAGTAGTAGTAGTAGTAGTAGTAGTAGTAGTAATAGTAGTAGTAGTAGTAGTAGTAGGAGTAAGAGTAGTAGTAGTAGTAGTAGTAGTAGTAGTAGTAGTATTATCAGTACTAGTGGTAGTTATAGTGGTCGTCGTGGTAAAAGTAGTGGCGGTGATAGTAGTGGTAGTAGTAGTAGTAGTAGTAGTAGCAGTAGTAGTAGTAGTAGTAGTAGTAGTAGTAGTAGTAGTGGTAATTGGAAGTCTTTTTTGTTGATCGGGATCGTTCTAGTAGTAGTAGTAGTAGTAGCAGTAGTAGTCGTCATAGTAGTATGTAGTGGTAGTCGTAGTAGTAGTAGTAGTAGTAGTAGTAGTAGTAGTAGTAGTAGTAGTAGTAGTAGTGAGCGTACTAGCAACAGCAGTAAAATTACTAGTGCTAGCATTCGTATTAGTCTTTGCTGTAGTAGTCGTGGTAGTAGTGGTAGTAGCAGTAGTCGTAGCAACAATATTTGTCGTAGTAATCGTAGTAGCAGAAGTAGCCGTAGTAGTAGTGGTTCTAGTAGTAGTAGTAGTAGTAGTAGTAGTAGTAATAGGAGTAATAGTAGTAGTATTGCTAGTAGTAGTAGTAGTAGTAGTAGTAGTAGTAGTACTGGTGGTAGTAATAGTAATAGTAATAGTAGTAGTAGCAGTAGTAGTAGTAGTAGTACTCGTACTTGTAATAGTAGTAGCAGTAGTAGTAGTAGTACTAGTAGTAGTGCTAGTAGTGGTAGTAGTACTCGTGGTAGAATTGGTAGCAGCAGAAATAATAAAAGAAGTAGAATAATCAGTAGTAGTAGTAATAGTAGTAGTAGTAGTAGTAGTAGTGCTAGTAGTAGTAATCGTAGTTGTAGTCGTGGCCATAAAAGTAGTAGCAGTCGTAGTTGCAACAGTGGTGGTCGTTCTAACCTTGGCAGCAGTAGTAGTGATAGTAGGAGTAACAATAATGATAACAAGCAGGGGTAATACTAGCAATAACAATCATAATACTAATCACACTGGGGGCACTAGCCGTGATAAAGGAAGTCAGAAAACAAGAGTAAGTATCGCGATGGTCAATTTACTAGTAATCGAAATACCTGTTTCCACCGTAGCCGTAGTAGTAGTAACCGCCGTAGTCGTAGTAGTGGTAGTGGTAGAAGTAGTTGTAGCAGTAGTAGCACTAGTATTTGTAGTAGTAACGGTTGTAGTAGTAGTAGTAGTAGCCGTAGTAGTAGTAGTACTCGCAGTTGTAATATTTAGTAGTAGTAGTAGTAGTGGTAGTAGTAGTAGTAGTAGTAGTAGTCGTAGTAGTAGTCGTAGTAGTAGTCGTCGTAGCCGTAGCAGTAGTTGTCGTAGTCGTAGTCGTAGTCGTAGTAGTGGCAGTAGTTGTAGTATTCGATGTAGTCGGGGTAGTCGTAGTAGTATTGGTGGTAGTAGTAGTAGTAGTAGTAGTAGTAGTAGTAGTCGTAGTAGTAGCCGTAGTAGTAGAAAACAGTAGTAGCGAGAGTAATCGCAGTACTGGTGGTAGTAAACGTAGCAGTTGTAGTAGTAGCCGTCGTAGGAGCCACATTACTAGGAGTAGTACTAATAATACTAGTTGTCACAGTAGTAGTAGTAGTAGTAGTAGTAGTAGTAGTAGTAGTCGTACAAGTAGTAATAGTAGTCGCAGCAGTAGTAGTAATGGTAATAGTCGTAGTAGTAGTAGTAGTAGTAGTAGTAGTAGGCCGTAGTAGTAGTAGTAGTAGTAGTAGTAGTAGTAGTAGTGGTAGTAGTAATAGAAGTGCTAGTAATTGTAGTCATAGTGGTGGTAACAACAATACTCGTAGTAGAAGTACTAGCAGCACAAGCCGCAGAGGAGTAGTAGTGGCCGTGGTAGTACTCGTAGTCAGTCAATCCGTAATAGGCGTTGTACACCTAGTAGTCGCAATCGCAGAGTAAAAATCGAAGTAGCAGTCGCAATCGTAGTAGTAGTTGTAGTAGTAGTCGTCGTCATTGTGGTTGTAGGAGTCATCGTAGTAGTGGTAGTGGAAATAAAAGTACTGGTAGTAAACATAGTAATAATAATCGCAGTCGCCGAATTAGTCGGAGTAGTGGTAGTAGTAGTGATAGTAGTAGTAGTAGCAGTAGTAGTAGTAGTGGTAGTAGTAGTAGTAGTCGTAGTCGTAGTAGTAGTCGTAGTAGTCGTGGTAGTAGTAGTCGTAGTAGTAGTAGTAATAGTAGTAGTAGTAGTAGTAGTACTAGCAGTCGTGGTAGTGGTGGTGGTAGTAATCGTGGTAGTAGTAGTAGTAGTAGTAGCAGCAGTAGTCGTAATCATAACAATGGAAGTCGTAGCAGTAGCAGTAGTGGTAGTAGTAGTATTAGTCGAAGTAGTAGTAGCAGTAGTAGTAGCAGTAGTAGTAGTAGCAGTAGTAGTACTTGTAGTAGTAGTAGTCGTCGTCGTAGTAGTAGTAGTAGTGGTAGTAGTGGTAGTAGTAGTAGTAGTAGTAGTAGTAGTAATCGTGGCCGTAGTAGTAGTTGTAGTCGTAGTAGTAGTAGTAGTCGTCGTAGCAGTAGTAGTCCTAGGAGTACCAGTAATAGTAGTAGTAGTAGTAGTAATAGTAGTCGTAGTAGTAGTAGTAGTAGTACTAGTAGTAGTAGTAGTAGTAGTAGTAGTAGTAGTAGTAGTAGTAGTAGTGGTGGTGGTGGTGGTGGTAGTAGTAGTAGTAGTAGGGGTAGTAGTAGTAGGAATAGTGGTAGTAGTGGTAGTTGCAGTGGTAGTAGTAGTCGTAGTAGTAGTAGTAGTAGTAGTAGTAGTAGTAGTAGTAGTAGTAGTACAAGTAGTAAGACTAGTAGTTGTAGTAGTAGTTGTTGTTGTTGTCGTTGTTGTTGTAGTAGTCAGATTTGGAATAGTAGCCGTAGTAGCGATTGAAGTAACAATACACATAATGAAATATATCGGTGTCGTAGTGAGAGTCGTAGATGGTAGTAGATCGTACATCGTATACCGCGAATATGAAGCCCCTCAAGATTCTTCAGGATTCTTCTCTATTCCTGGGGGTCGCTGGGATTCCGCACGACTCATGAAAATGTCCCTGGATTCTTCAGGATTGCTTCCCCAGGGCTCCTCAAGGCGTCCCGCAATTATTAAGGATTCTCTTGGATTCCGCAGGGCCCCGCGCAGCTCCTAAGGATCCAGCGGGGTCTCTGCACGCTTCCTGAACATACCTTACGATTGCATGAGGTTTCTCGGGATTCCTCCGGAATCCGCATGCTCATCAGGGTCCCTCAGGATTCCTCAAGGTTTCTCAAGTTCCTCAGGATTCTTCGGGACTCCGCAGGCTCAAGCATGGTTCCGCACGTTTTTTGGGGGTTCCCCAAGGTTGCCGAGGACCCTGCAGGATTCCGCATGGTCCCTCAGGAGTCCTTTGGGGTCATCAAGCTTCCTCGGATTTCCGCAAGCTTCTCCAAGATGCCGCGCGTTTCCTAAGATTACGGATGACTCGTCAAGGTTCGTTAGGCTTCTGCGCTAATCCTGCTGTGTCTTCGGATTCAGAAGGATTCCTTACATAGGATTCTTAAGGTTTCCTCTCGATTCCTTGGGTGCCTCTGGTTCCTCAAGATCTCTCAGGTTTCCGCAGAATTTCTCTGGATCCCGAGGAGTCTTGGCAATCCCGACGCAGAAGGCGAATTTCCCGCGTCACCTTCTTGTACTATTCGTGTAGATGTCCTGCGTGGCGGCTTGATACGGAAACAAGCTTTCTAATGCATTCATGTTCTATTGTGTTTCTGTTGTATTCCTTTTGCGCCACTATTGTATAATTTGTTGTTGCATTCCTGCTGTGTTGCATTCATGCTGTGTTCCCGTTGTGTTCCTATTGTGCTCACATTGTATCTACAGTGTGCTCCTATTGTGTTCATAGTAGGGTGTGTTCACGCAGCGTTCATATTGTATTGCGGCTCCATTCGTATAACATCGAACCCAAAGCCGAACCCGAACCGGAACTCCCAACCCTGACCGTGCATTCTTTGTACGCACAAGTGCAATGTGCGTCCCGAATGGTAGCAGTAGTCGCAAGAACAATTGTAATATCAACATGAGTAGTGGCCTTAGCAGTAGTTGTCGCAAGTCGTGTTGGTGGTAATACGACAACTTGAAGTCCAGCTCTCCTCCTCATCTCCTCTCCTTCCGGCCGCGCTCCTGCAGCCTGCTTAGGCTGTCGTCCTGCGACTGGGCAGCTGCCTTGAACAGCGACCCAGACTTCACGCCCTCAAGCAAGTTCTGAGCCTTCCGCTCGGCAGCGCGGAAAGGAAAAGCAAGCGTGAGGGGGCGTTTGCTCATGGAGTAGGGGGGGGAAACTACGAGGAGTACGATGACATGGTGACGACGGGGACGAGAAAGGAAGGCTGAGGATGAGGAGGCGGATGACAAAGAGCAGTAGGAGTAGGACGCGGATGAGAGAGAAAGAGAGAGAGAGAGAGAGACAAAGAGAGAAAGAGAGCGAGAGAGAGAGAGACAATACACTAAATAACGTGGAGAGGAGGGAATCTGGCGATCAAAGATGATCGGGAAGAACAACACCATCAAACGATGATGAGCACGATGGGGGCGGAAGCGGCAGAGAAGGAGGCGAACGAGGAGGAGGATGAGGAGGAGGAGGAGGAAGGAGTAGCAGGATAGGGACCTTGGGTCTTCCCCTTCGATCGCGACACCACGAAGCAGGCCTCGACCACTGATGGTGCCTCTCGTCGACGCGGGTACCCAACCATATGTAATACACGAAGAGGTGACAAGAGGAACAACCTGTGTTGAGACCACCCTGGGCTACCCTGCAGGGGCATGTTAAGTCACATCTGGACTACCTCGGTGGGCTTCCTGCGCGCAGCCCAGAGCCCTGCCAACCTCTGGAAATGGGAAGGAAGATACCCTGCTCCCCGCCCTCCATTGGCCTTTTCCTCCGCGGCCTCAACCGCTATCGCCACGTCCTTCATGTCCATGGCGACGGCCGTCCTGTGGCGGCTTGGGGGGGGTGGCTGCAGTCCATGTAGGAATAAGAATAGCCGGCTCCGCGCAAAAACTGGGCAGGGCAACGGAGAGAGGCGGTGGCTTCTTAGAGTGGATCGGCCCTCCTGCGGTGGGGGTGGTGGGTGAGGACTCCTTCGCTAAGGAACCCAACGCATGCCTGAACGAACACCCCCAGCGTATAAGAGGCGGAGGCGTCGCAGCTAGGATTAGGTCGGGCATGTCCCCCTACAGTCGTCGGGCTTTGGGGGAAAATAACAAATAGCCAAACAGCACTCAAAACTGATCAACAAATAATCGAAACATCGTCCCCTGACTACTTTTTTAAAACAATTTTTGAATACCCCTCCTGTAGAGGGACAGGCCCGACTTAAAGCTAGGAGGCAGGTGGGCCTCACAGAGGCGGATGTCCGCTGAGGAGGCTGTCCCTTGCACCGTCCCCTTTCTGCGCGGCGCCGAACATGAGAATACGCCGCACAGGTGTGTACAGCCAGGGCGTTGACCTACGGAACCCTACATAAGGAACGAGGCTCCATTTTTCCATCAGTCAGACTTCAATGTCCCATCGAAAACCCAAGGAAAACCTGGCGTAACAAGCGAAACAATTAATAACGAACACGGAGCCCCTCCCCAACGAAAAGGGTTCCTTCCTCAGCGCCCCGACTGTACGCGTCGTCTGACGTCTAGCGTCGTCTGACCAGCGACCTCTCTCGGACTGGACGACATGGGGTAATAACAAAGGGGGGGGTAGCGAGTCAGCTGAAGTAGCTGATTTGCCCAGCGCCTCCCAGCGCCAGAGGCGGCCATGTATCGAGGAAAAGGACCCCTCGGCGGGACCGACACCAGCTGCATGCAGCAGATTTCGTACCCCCCCCTTTCCCTATCCCCCCCCCTCTCGTCCGACCCTAATCTGACGCCGCCGTATGGTGACGTCAGGGGCACACCTTCGAAGCAACACCGAATCCACTGACTCGGCCAGCTCCAGGAGGAGGGCCCCGTCAGGCCAGGGAGCGACGCACGGACCTTTGGCCCTGGGCGGAAGCCCCCGGAAGCACCTCTCCCACCCCGAAGAGAGATCGATGCCAATCTCCGGGTAGCTTCTGGGGCAGGCCGTGCGTGGATAGATCGACCGACTCACGAACCACCACTGCGGACGGACAGAGCCTGTCTAACACCAGGAGGGCGAGGCCGTGGCCTGTGCTGCCGCCAGCTGGACGTCGTGCGGGGAAAAAGGGGGCAGAGAAGCGGGAAGGCAACGCTCTGTTGCCTCTGAGCCAGAAGGTCCGGGGCGCCTCCAGAGACAAGGGCCGTGGGTGTGCCTGGCTTGGCGGAGCTGCTGCCTGACGTGCCAGCCGGGAGCCATGCAGAGGGATCGGGGCACAGAAGCTGGAGGGCACCGCTCAACTGCGTCGAAGTAAGGGGCTCCAGACGTTCTAAGCAGGGGCGCCAGGTGCCTGGCAGAGCCAAACGGCGCGACAGCGCATCGCCACACGGATTTTCCATATGCGGCGAGAAAGCCTGCAACATTGCTCTGCTTCGCGGGCCGCCTCCTCGTCCTTGTCCTCCTCTTCCTCTTCCTCCTCCTCCTCCTCCTCCTCCTCCTCCTCCTCCTCCTCCTCCTCCTCCTCCTCCCCCTCCTCCCGCCCAATAAGGCAATCTCCTCTCCCCTCCCGCATCATTCCCTCTTCTCTCCTTCTGGTGATTCCACTCGTGCTTCTGCTGCTCCCTCCTGCGACCCCTGTAGAGAACGGCCAACTCATCCTACACACCCGCCTCCCACGCCTCCGCGTCCTCCATCTCCTCGACTGACTCTTCTGGTCCTCCTCCTCCTCCTCCTCCTCCTGAACATCCTCCCCCTGCGTTTCCTCCTGATCCTCCTCCTGTCGCTGTCGCTGTCGCCCCTGGGGCTCCTCCTGCTGTCCTCCTCCTCTTCCTGCCTCTTGTCGCCCAGGATGGGCTTGGGGCTGGCCTGTCTCCTCTCGTCGGCCGCTGCCGTGCTCACAGAGTAGGGCTGATCTGGCCACTCGAATCCCACTCGAATCCTCCTGCAGCCTCTCCTCTCGGCCATGGCGTCCTCCCCCCCTTCCCCCTGCCCCCCCTGGGCCGCGGCGCCCTCCCCCTGGCACCTGCTCTCGGCCCATGGCGCCCCCCCCCCCCCCCCTGGCCCCCTTGGCCACGGCGCCTTGGGTCCCTTCCCCCCTGGGTCCCCTCGGCCATGGCGCCCTGCCCTCCCCGCCCCCCTGCCTCCCGAAAACGGGCGCCGCCCGCCCGCAGTCTCTCTGGCACGCCCGAGCGGACGCCACGCCGCGGCCGCGCCCGCACGCAGGCGCGGCCACGCCCCGCCCGCCTCAGGACGCGGGGCCCAAGCGAACCATCTCCTTCGCGCGGCCGCAGGGCGCGGATGACGATGACGATGACGATGACGATGACGATGATGATGATGATGATGATGATGATGATGATGATGATGATGATGATGATGATGCTGATGATGATGCTGATGATGATGATGATGATGAGGAGGAGGAGGAGGAGGAAGAGGAGGGGGGAATGAGGTGGAGGAGGGTGAGGAGGAGGAGGAAGAGGAAGGGTATGAAAGGAGGGGGAAGAGGAAGAGGAGGAGGAGGAGGGGGCAGATAAGCACGATGAGGAGGGGGTGAAAAGGAAGAGGAGGAAGAAGAACAGGAAAAGGAGGAGGAGGAGGACGAAGATGAGGAGGACGAGGAGGATGAAACAAGGAAGAGAGCAGGATGATGATGCTGATGATGATGATGATGCTGATGATGATGATGATGATGATGATGATGATGATGATGATGATGATGATGATGATGATGATGTTGAGAAGGAAGAAGAGACGGAGCAGGAAGAGCAGGAGGAGGAAGAGAAGGAGGAGGAGGAGAGAAGGAGGAGGAGGAAGATGAAGAGGAAGAGGAGGAGGAGGAGGAGGAGGAGGAGGACGAGGAGGAGGAGGAGGAGAGGAGGAAGAGGAGGAGAAGGAGCAAGAGGAGGAGGACCAGTGTAAGCACAAGGGCCACCAACGATGCTGGAATACACCCTGCCTCCAAGCTCCCTCTGCATAGGCCCCCATACAACGGCCCATGTCCATTGAGGGAACTACCTCGTTTGAAAACAACCGTTCGAAAACCCTGGAGCATGCCAAAACATTGTTTTCGGAATTCCAATGCCACGAATCAGCCTGACTCTTGCGCTTTGACGATCTTGAACCGTGCCAGAACGCCAATCTTGGGATGTCAACACCGCGAACCAGCGCAAGTGTTGCACCTGCAAAATCCGAATCCCTCCAAAACACCATTTCTGGTACGTTGATCATGGGAGTCCGTGGAACTCTTGCGAATTGTATAAACGAATGCGCGCGGCGCTAAAGCGAGAACCACAATTTGAAAAGGAGCCGCCTTCCACCCGTGAGCCTCTTGCAAATGTTTACAAGGAATGTGCGCGGCGCTAAGGCGAGAGCCACATTTTGAAAACGGACATCTTCAATGTGTAAAACGCTTCCAAACACTCAAAACGAATGCGCGCGGCGCTAAGGCGAGAGCCACATTTTGAAAACCACCCGTCCTCAACCCGTGGAGCTCTTGCAAAATGTTCAGAACGAATGCGCGCGGCGCTAAGGCGAGAGCCACATTTTGAAAACCACCCGCCCTCCACCGGCGAAGCTGTTGCCAATGTTTGAGCTTCAGGGTAATAAACGGTAAACAAGTTTCTGGCGAAACGCCCGGCCCGACCTAAAAAACTGGCTTCGGGGTGCGACAGGGAGAAGTTACTCATAAGGAAAAGGAGTGGAGGAGGAGGAGGAAGAGGAGGAGGAGGAGGAGAAGCACGAGGAGGAGCAGCACGAGGAGGAGGAGGAGGAGGATGAGGAGGAGGAGGAGGAGGAGGAGGAGGAGGGGGAGGAGAAGGAGGAGGAGGAGAGGGAGGAGGGGGAGGAGGAGGAGGAGGAGGAGGAGGAGGGGGAGGAGGAGGAGGAGGAGGAGGAGGAGGAGGCAGAGAAGGAGGAGGAGGTGGAGGAGGTAGGAGGATTATGAGGATGGTTCTGATGATGACCACGAAGATGATGATGATGAGGAGGAGGAGGAGAAGGAGCGAGCGTCCCTGGGGCGAAGCATCCTGCTCCTCAGGGCCCTCGCGGGCCCGCCGCGCGGCCAGCGGGGCCACTCAGCGCGTGGCCGGCAGTGTCTGAGAAGTCATCGATGCCATTGGTCATTGGTCGTCTGCAGGTTCGCCGTGCCATCGTGGGCCAGGTGGTCTGCAGGAGTGTGGTCATAGTCGAGTTAGTTACGGTCGGACTTGTCGCATTGAAGAAAGCCGGAGAAGTGGACGCGGACGGCGGCCACGCCGAGAGCGATGAATCATCGCAGCGCCCATCAGGAACATAGCCAGACCAGGCCCTGCAAATCTCTAGCGCCAACGCGAGGTAGCGCGGGTCGTCATCTTCGTTGAGCCCGTCCTCGAAACGCGCAAGAGCGCCATGACCAGCTGCGCCGCCACGACGAAAACGGTCGGCAAGCCTCGCGCGGGACGCACTGCATCCGCGGAGGAGACGAAGATCACGAAGACGAGAAAAGAAGCTTGCCCACCGAGACGTGCAGCTCCAAGCGCAGCATCGCCAGCACGACGCCGAGCGCGGTGACCACCGGCGGGCTGATGGTCATCGCGGGCATCGCGAACGGGCGCAGCACGATGGTGAAATACATCGTCCTCGCAAGCCAGCCGTCGTTGGCCACCAGCGGGCTGAGCGCGACAGCAATCTTGACGCACGGGAGCAGCACCACCATCAGCAGCGTAGAGACCGATCCTTTGGTGAGAACCTGCAGCGCCAGCGTCATCGTCATCAAGTCCTCCAGGGATGCCCCGCTGAGCAGCAGGAGGCTCGTGCACAGAAGGTGCGCAATGTCCAGGAGGGGCCCGAAGTCCAACAGGAGGCCCTTGCACGGCAGGGCCCCGCAGCCCAGCAGGGCCCAGAAGGCAAGCTTCACAGACGGGAGCGTCTCCATCGTCAGCAGCATCGGGATCGAGAGCGAGCCTTTGGCGAGCACCGTCAGCGGCAACACCGTGACCAGGTCCGCCAGGGAGGTCTGGCTGACCCGCAGAAGGCCCGCGCGCAGAAGGTGCCCGAAGCCCAGGAGGGTCCCAGAGTCCAACGCGAGGATCCAGCGCAGGTGCTGAATCGGCAGCTGGCCCGACGAGCGCATGCAAATCTGGAGCAGAGCGACCGCCAGCCCGAACGAGCCAGAGCGTCGCCGTCATAGACTGAGCGTCGGCGCACGCGTGCGCGGGATGAAGCTGGCGAAGGCGAGCGCGTTCAGCAGCAATGGCATCGTCTGTCAATTCTGCCGGGTGGCAGTTGATGCAGTCATCGCCGAATTTGCAGCGCGGATGGTAGCGGCAAGCCGAGCGAGTAGAGATCCTCGGGCCCAACTGGAGAAGCTTGAGGCAGTAGAAGTCGCGCGCGGCGCGAGCGCGGAGCCTGCGCCCAGCAGCGTCGCGATCAGCAGAGCGGTCCCGATCCGCGGCAGGGACGCGATGCGGACCGCCGTCTGCAGCAGGTAGGTCGCCACCTTGAGCTGCAACATCGTCGCGCTGAGGGCGGCCGCCGCCGCCCGCGGCGCGAGGGGGCCCACCGGCAGCGCGAGGAGCTGGGAGAGCGTCATCGCGCCCAGGGGGGGGGGGGTCTGCACGAACACCGCGCAGACTCGCCCTCGGACCGCGACGGGCCCCGCCCGAGCCTGGAAGAGCAGGCAGGGCGCCTCCAGGGGGGGGGGGGTGCCAGGTCGCGCAGGATGCGAATTCTGAGGTCCCGAGCGCGGCGCAGGATCTGCACTGAGGGTCGCCTGGCTCGCCATCGGGTTCTCGAGCAGAGTCGCGTCGACCATATCCAGCGGCGAGGCCCGCCGCAGCGAGAGGAGCTGCAGGCTCGGTGCTGGAAGCTTGCCCCTGGCCACGCAGAGGTCGCAACGGGGTGAGCATGCACGCATTGTGGAGCGCCGAGGGCAGTGTGCTCTTCGAACAACGAGAAATTTACCTCGAAGTCGATGTCCTGCATGATCATGTCGCCCAGCGCGATGGCAATCTGGGTGTACTCGTCGTCGCTCCAGTCGCCCTCGGGCACGCAAGGCGGCCAGGTCGCGCCAAAGGATCAACCGTGCGGTGGAGAAATAGAAACATAAGATGCAGCCGAAATACGTTGCCGTTGCAGTTAGGAACAGAGGTTCGCCACTTGCGGGATGCCAGATCCGTCGCGTACTGCCGTCGGGTAGAGCGCGGGCTGGTTGCAGGCGGCGTGCATTTGGTTGAGAAAGGCGAGCAAGGACTGCATGCTGTGCGAGAAGACAGTGGGCATGCGCGGAACTGTATTGAGATTGTCATCCCGCGGAGGCGGCACCAGCGAAGCAAGGCGCAACGGCGCCTTAGCGCCAACCCGCGCGCTCTTCGCAGAGGGCGAAGCAGCCGGAAGAAGAGGAACGCGGTGTTCAGCGCGGCGTGCTTGCGAGTTGATGGTGCGCAGCTGCTCGATGGAGTCGCCGTCGAAGAACGCGCCAGCACGGGCAATCGCCCCCCGAAGACTATGATCCTGAGTCCCTGTGACCGACTGCAGCTACGCGTGCGCCACGAGGCCGTTCGCCATGCGCAGGAGGTTCGGGCGCAAGCAGGACGGGGCGAGCAGGTGGGACATCCCCGAGGGTCGATCCCTCACGTGGCCGCGAGCGCGGGCGCGAACGCGACGCAGGCGGAGTTTGCCAGGAGAACGGCAGTGCACCTTGCAGAAGATGTCAGCGCAGCTCATCACTACCAGGAGACGCCAACCCAAGTCGGCAGCGGCGCGCATCATTGCGTGCTCAAGCGGATGGGGCGCGCGCGGGGCCCCAGCCAAGCAACATGTGACTCGAGCCGAAATGGCTACGGAGGGGGAGGATGAAGGAAGGAGGAGGAGGAGGAGGAGGAGGAGGAGGAGGAGGAGGAGGAGAGGAAATATGTGGATGATGGAGGACGATGATGACGATGAGGATGAGGATGAGGGATGAGAGATGATGATGGAGGAGGGATGGCGATGCTGACTATGATGCTGATGCTGCTGATACTGAGTATGTTGATGATGCTGGTGATGGTGATGATGGTGGCGATGACGATGAAGAGGAGGAAAAGGCGATGGATGAGGATGAGGCTGAGGGGTGGCAGATGTGGAGGATGGAGGGTGAGGATGAGGATGCGGATGAGCGATGAGGGATGATGATGGTTATGATGCTGATGCTGCCGATGCTGATAATGATGATGGTGATGATGGTGATGATGCTAATGATTATGATGATGGTGATGGCGATGACGATGAAGAGGATGAGGAGGAGGAAAAGGAGGTGGACGAGGATGGGGATGAGGAGGGGGGGGGGGAGGAAGAGGAGGAACAGGTGGAGGAGGAGAGGGAGGAGGAGAGAAGAGAGAGGAGGAGCAGGAAAAGGCGGCGGCGGCGGCTGCGGAGGAGGAGGAGGAGCAGGAGAAGGAAGAGGAGGAGGAATAGACGGAGGAGGCGGGGGAAGAGGGGGGGGGAGGAGAAAGTGTTGGAGGTAGGAGGAGGATGAGGAGAAGGAGGAGGAGGACGACGAGAAGGAGATGGAGGAAGAGGAGGAGGAGGAGCTCTGGGAGCGTCGAATTTGGCGACTAGGTTGGTTGGGAAATCACTTCGGGGACGAAACGCCCTTGGCCTTCTCAGCTGTGCTAGCACGTTTAGGCCGGAGACCCCGCGATATTCGATCTAGATGATCGTGTCGATTAACTAGTGCTCGCCCCCCACATGGCCTTGCTAGCTCTTTGAGCTCATTGCCGGCATAGCACCCGCAAACAAAACAGAACCAGACCCCTAGGCCCATGTGGCAGCGGACCCTATGACTCTCGCCTGGAAAACCCCCTGACACATGTACCCGCCGCCCAGTAGGGGGTTCAAACAGTCCCGTCGATGTTCATTAGCTAAGCACGGAGAAAGCAGCCAGTCCGATCGCATGGCATGAGTGGTCGACCCCTGGCTTCTTATTCACTTGCGATCGCACGCACCACTGATGGAGTGGCTGGACGCGAACAGACTGCAAGCCTTGGGCGCTGGAGGTCTCACTTTGGCCTGGCGGGGAACCTTGATGCCTTTTTTTTGTTCCTGCCTCTGCTCGGCGCTCGCAGCTTCAAGGGTGCTCTGCAGGAACCTCATTCTGACAAGGAATGCTTTGAATGCAACCTACTTCATTTTTGTGCTATGCACTGCAGGCGCGCGAGCTGCCTCCGCCCCTGCGCCTGCGAAATCGTCGGCCATGGCGCTGCCGACCGCCAGCGCGAGCGGGGCTTTGCCAGCCCGAACGTCCTCCGCAGGCAGGTGGTAGCGGATGGCGATGGCGGCGCGCACGTGCTCGCCGCGCTCCTTGACCCAAGAGCCGGTCTCGAGCCACAGGTCGCTGTCGGGACCCTCGGGTATCGCGTGCCGCTTCGCGCCCGGCCGAGGATCGCGCTCTCGTTGCCCGCCACGAAGACGAAGTGGCCGCGGTAAGCTCTGAACGCTAAGCATAACGCCATCAGCTCGCCTATGGCCACGGTCTGTCTGCTTCCCGGGAGCCCCCCCCACGCTCCCAAGGTCAAATCCATTTCGAACGAGAAGTGTCGGAAACATGCCAGGCCTGCGCCTGCACGGCGCAGTTTGGGTTCACGACTGTCCGCCCCTCCACTAGCATCACCAAAGATGAACAAGGGGGCATCTCTGGCTCCCCCTTCCAGGCAGCCGTCCGCGCACGGAGTCCCGCTGGTACGCCATTCTTCTTAAGACTGTGGAGATGGACCCCGCGCCCAGCTGGCAGGCATGAGTCCCCGTGACCATAAGCATGCGTCAGCTGAACCCTGAGCGTACGCCTCGCCAACGTACCTGTCCGACGACTCGTGTATCTGGTGGGCCCCGCGGCCTTCGCATGCCCAATGCCCGTGGAAAGCTGTCTCGACACAACTGCCGCATCGTAGGCACATTTGCGATATGACCTGTTCAGCCCGTTCCTGTCTCCTGACTCGCGGCCAGGCGCCCCCAGCTGCGATCGCCAGCACGAGACCAGCTAGCTTCCGCCCGTGAGGGGCACCTTCGAGGTGGTGGAGCAGTTGGCGGCATGAACGATTGCAGATGCCCCGCTGCATCTCAAAGCCACAACACTCATCGAACATCTCGTCAGGGAAAGCGATGCTATCAACTCCAATCATGCCTTCCTCATTGAATTGCCATGTGTGCGACGTGCCGTGAGCATCGGTCGGCGTAGTCCAACTAGGGGGAGACGTCTGCCAACCTGCCTGAAGTAGATCTGAGATCACTGCCCCTGGCGGGCCCCTGATGCGCCTGGCCCGTTGCGCAGGAGAAATGGGCGACAACTCCTGCACCGGCTGAGACCAGGCACGTCCGATGCCGTTCCTGATGCGAGCTTGGTTTCCCCAGCGCGAGAGCCACGGCCGCCAGCGCTCGCGGGGCAGCTGGTAGGCCGGGCCACTCCCAGGGGCCTTCAGGTCGATCAGCGCCGTAAGACATCTGCCCAACATCCTAGGCCCCAGGGGGTTTCCCAGCTTCCGTCGACATTGAATCATGACACCACCGAGAAGACCATGCAGTTGGTGCCCATGTGATCCTGACTTCTGGGGCCCCCTGCTGCTCTTGCGGGGCCGTGTGCCAATATCGCCGAGTAGAGCGAACATACCTAAGGACGCGCTTGTGCATGGCCTGGTGCGTCCTCGAGCGAGCGGTCCCGGTGGCACGTGCGCGCCGAGAGCCTCCGCCCAAGTCGCCCCCAAGGTAGGGTGCTTGAGCCGTGGCTCGAATATGTAATCCGCGCTGCCGGACTCTGCGAGATGATCTGAGCATTCAGCTCGGCACATGTAACGACCGATTCGGATATATGCTCAAGCCAGCTTCCTCCATGGATGCGCATGTGTCGACAAAACATGTGACCAACTGCTGCCTGGAAGCACGCTTCGAACCTTTCGTCGACTGGCTGAGATCGTCTATCCAATGCCGCTGCGACATGCTAGCGCGCGCCGTGGTGGGACGCTGCATGATGGAATCGGTTGTGCACTCAGCGAATCCGGCGCCCTCTCGGAGCCCTTGCACCGCCGAGCGGAGTGGTGCGAAGGGCCTCGAACTCGTGCCAGACTGACGTAGACAGCGCGCCGCCATGCACTGCAGCAGCTCCAGTCC